AAGCAAATGAAGATCATCACATGACAATGGTGTTGCCATGGTGATGATCAAGTGCTTGGACTTGGAAAAGAAGAAAGAAAACAAAAGGCTCAAGGCAAAGGTATAAATGGTAGGAGCTATTTTGTTTCGGTGATCAAGACACTTAGTGAGTGTGATCACATTTAGATTCGATAGCCGTACTATTAAGAGGGGTGAAACTCATATCGAAATACGGTTATCAAAGTACCACTAGATGCTCTAACTCATTACATATGCATTTAGGATCTAGTGGAGTGCTAACACCCTTAAAAATGTTTGTGAAAATATGCTAACACATGTGCACAAGGTGATACACTTGGTGGTTAGCACATTTGAGCAAGGGTGAAGAAGATAGAGTTGAAGAGAAGTTAGTCGCGCAGGTCATAGAGTGATAGGACGCGTCCGGTATAGAGACTGGACACATCCGGTATGTGGCTTGATACTGAATTGCAGAGAGCGACCGGACGCGTCCGGTGTGAATCAGCGAAGTCGATGTTCAGTGTAATAGTTGATCGGACGCTGAGAGCATCCGGTCCAGAGTGACCGGACGTGTTTGGTCAGGCTTGGGAGCTTACTGAGACTCAGCGTTCTGTCATTTTCTAACAGCGTGTTTGGTCGTTTCTAACTCAGCGTCCGGTCATTTATAACAGAGCGTCCGATTGCATGGGACTCGTGGCAGCAATGGCTACATTAGTTTGAATTGGACATGTGGCGGTCAGGTAGCGACCGGACGCGCCCGGTATAAACGGCCGGTGCATCCGGTGCACACGACCTGCGTGTCCGGTCGATGCACAGTCAGCCCAATAATTGAGCCAATGGCTCTATTGTTTGGGGGTGTCTATAAATACCGTTTGGCTGGCTCAAGCTCATTTACTTTGCCATTTGCAATGACATAGCAACCTTATAAGCTTAGTCAAAGCCCTCTCACTCATCTCTATCATTGATTCAACATCTTTGTGAGATTAGGAGTGAATCCAAGTGCATTGCTTGAGTGTTTGCATCTAGAGGCACTTGGTGTTCGTGTTTTGCTGTGGGATTCTCTTATTACTCTTGGTGGTCGCCGCCACCTAGATGGCTTGGAGCAGTGAGGATCGTCGAGTGGAGGTTGGTGATTGTCTCCGGCTCCGATCGTGGTGATTGTGAGGGGTTCTTGATCTTTCCCCAACGGAGAGCCAAAAGGTACTCTAGTACATTGCTCGTGGCTTGTGTGATCCTCATCTTGTGTTGGTTGTGCGGCACCCTATTGAGGGTTTGGCGCGTGATGCCAATTAGCGCGTGAACCTCTAAGTGAGTGAATCGCCACACCGAGGACTAGATTGCCAGCAAGCAAGTGAACCTCGATAAAAAAATTATTGTATCATCATTTGATTCCGAGGTGATTGGTCTTCATTGGTATTCGTTCTTGTGATTGATTAGTTCACTCCTTGATTCGGCGGTATAACCATCTTGCTCACTCTCTCTATATTACCGCAAACTAGTTGTCAAGCTCTTTAGTGTAGCTAGTTGTGAGAGCTTGTTAGTTTGGTTAGTGTGGCTCCTTAGTTAGCCTAGTAGCCCAGCGCGGGTGCGGCCGTGCGCGTGTCGCAACGACCCAACGTGGCCCAAGGCCGAGGAGCCCACGTGTGATGATGGTTTTGTAGAGAAGCCCCCGAACTTCGAGGTAATAGTACGACTACCATGTGTACTGTTCCTATCGGAGATGGCTTTGCGACCAAGCCCTCGATTGTTTTCGTCTTCACCACGGGCAGGTCCTTGGAATCCCCATGCGTGCCGGCGTGGCGGCCAACAGCATAAGGCGGTTACACCGGGCAACCTAGGCGTGCTACGATGGGGGTAAGGGGCCGACCACCATCTATAGCTAAACGCATAAGGATGGGTGGCGGTTAGGGACTCGAATGCGCACTATCGCGGGCTACAGCGACGAGTGGCTATCCGTGGCGGTGGTGTGACTGTTCCGGCGACCTAAGGTTCTATCGGGGTAATAAGGATAACGGGTAAGCACCAGTAGCTCACTGAAATTCGTGCTGCGGTGACGGTTGAGGCGGAGAAGTACCGAGGTGGCCTGGCCACGTGCGAGCCGCCGGGGCGGCGGTGCTCTGGAATGGACACCCATGCATCACCCCATCTCCAGTAAGCGCCCTGGCCAAATGGCGCGAGCACCAGATAGAGGAGGTCAAGGCGAGCTCATGGATACAAACAATTGAACTAATTCAGACCTTACCCCAATTTCACTGGCACGACGGCGCACCTGGTCGACGGCGAGAAAAACCAGAAATTGGTCGCTAGTAATGCTCGGTTGCGCCAAGGTGAGGGTCGGGCTGCTAGTTGGCTTTCCGGTCTAACTACCGGAACGCCGAACTGAGGTGTGGCGTCCCGAATCACACGTATTTGTCGTGCGAGGCGGGCGATTCTGTCAGCGACAAGGGCAGGCGGGGGCGGCAGCTCTTCAAGGCTTTGCCTGCTTCAGTCAAGGCTGCGTTAATGAAGCGAGGGAGGCAGTGACACCGCAACACGGGCATTATATAGTGCGACGCGACTACGGAGGCAGGCAGCGGCTCAGCGAGTAGGTGATTCGAGCGACGGAAAGAGTGCCACGTCGGCAAGACAAAGGCCGCCGCAACTCCAGCTTGGCCCAGCGCACGGCCTGGCTGGTAGCGCACACGCGGCAGAGATAGTGCCATCGGACAGGGCCAGGCAGCAGCGTAGGATTGCAGAGAGCGCGAACGTGACGGCACCGATAGTAGGGACAAACCCACGCGTGCGATGGCGAGAAGGGCAACAGCCGCACTGCAGCGCGAGGCAGGAAGGGTGGCAGCGGGGGCAATAGCGCAACAGCCAGCAGCAGGCGTCGTAGTCGAAGGTGGCCAAGCCACAGCCACGCCGCAACCAGGCCGAGGGCGGCCACCATTAGCCTGCCCACGCACGCGTGCGGACAGAGGCGGCCACGACGCACACCGAACGCGGTGACCACGCACTCCCAGGCGAACGACTAGACGCGTGCTAAGCACGAATTTTAAAGTGCGTCTAAAAACTAACCTAACACAGTTGAAGCTAATCTACCTCGACCATGCTAACGAGGCACACCAGTCTACCATAAAGAGCAAAAAACACGACATTGACCTTTAGCTAGATTTTCTAGAATTAATTCGCCAACATAGCATTGTCACATTGTTTTTAAACTTAAAATTTCTTCCAAATCTTGAGCTGAATTTGACTTCAAGTTCCGTTTCTAAGCCATTAGAAATACTATCTAGTCATATTATTTTTCTATATCAAGAGTTACATTGTCATCTACAAAGTTTGTACTTCAAACTTTATTTAAGTATCACACACATGTTCTATAGTATCTTTGCTTAATAAAAATTGATTTTTAACCCTACTTGATACACATGAGCTATTGAATTAACATTCATTTAACATTTTTATTGGTTATTTTAGACTACAAGAAATTTATCAACACCTTCTATCACATGCATTATTACATAAACACGATGCTCATGATATGATTTAGTAGTTGGTTTAGGGCATAACACCGAGGGTGTTATAGGCACGACACTATGGGCCATTTTCTGGGCCGGGCCAGCCCGGAAAAAGCACGGTCGATGAAGTAGGCTGGGCCAGCCCAAGCCCTAAGTCTCCCCGCCGCTGAGCGCTACGTGGGGGAGGAGCCGAGGCGTGGCCGCGTGGGGAGCGCCACCGTCACGTCACAAGGAAGAGGCAAGTCGCGGATGGCTGCCGGCGCATTCGTCCCCTGCAGCTTGTGCACTCTGGCAGTGTAGAGGGGGTGGAGGCGGCGCCACGGTGGGCATTGGCGTCGGCCCTCGGACGTCGAGGCAGGGCCACGAGGAGAAGGTGAACGCAAATCAGCAGGACGGAGGGCTATCGTCTGTCGAGCACTCGAACTCGGCACCGGGAGGAGGCATGCGGCTGTAGGATGGAGGAGCCCATCGTCCATCGCGGAGGGCGGGAGGAGGCGTGCTGAAAGCGAACCGGAGAGAAGCATCGAGAGAGGGAGAGAATCAGGCGAAGGGGGGGGGGGAGAAGGGCACATCCGCGGAGTCGGAACGAGAGGTGGCGGCAGGGGCAAAGCTACGTTTTGCTGTTGGGGTCAGCTGACCCCGTGAATTTGTACAAACTCAGTAGGAATTACTGTTTTGCGTTGTTCTTTAAAGGCAAAGACCCCATCGTGTATTACACCTGACCCCGGCGCCATTTTGGCCTGGCTTCGCCTTTGGGTGGTGGCGGCTGCGTCTTCTGGGTTGGGAAGGGAGTTAGGGTTATGGAGGATAAAAATCTGTATATATTTAATTGGGGTATCGGGGTTTAAAAGAGCTTGCGGCATTTTTTGAACCGTGTCGTGCCGCCCAATATGCCTGAGGAGTGGCCCAGACACGACCCTATGCATCGGGCCGTGCCGCCCTAGGCCCGCAGCTCACTGAGCCGTGCCAGCCTAAGCCCGTAGCTCACTGGGCCGTGCCGTGCTCATACCGGGCCAAAATGCCATGCTTGGGGCCGAGCTATCGTGCATCGGGCTGCACGAACATTAGTACCTACTGTTTCCATCCGACCATCCCACGCCGAGACACCAGCGACAAATTCCGCAAATAGTAAGGGGCCATGCGATAAAAAGGCAACTGTGCCATCGCTGCGTCGTCCTCTTCCTCGTTTCGCGGCTCGTGTTGCTTCCTCCCTCCGTCTCCCTCCCTCCGGCCTCCGGACCCGAAACGCTGACGCGAAATCAAATCAAACCTGCTGCTGCCTGCTGCATCCACTGTCCTCAGCCGAGCCAAGCCGCCGCTTCTGCCTCGTCCTCCTCACTTGCCCTCTCCCTCGCTGACGCCCCAATCCATTCCCCCCGATCCCCAGACCCCAGCCGCTTCGATTACGCGACCCGCCTCGCAAACCCTAGCTCTCCCGCTCTCTCCCTCTCCCATGCGCCCCAAACCCTAGCTTGCCGCCCGCCCACGGCCCACCCGCCGGTCATGCGCGCCTCCGCCTCCGCGGTCCCCATGGAAGCCTCCGCCTCCGCCCGCAGATCCGCCGCGGGCCCCGACCCCGGTGGCGCCAAGAAGCCGCGCCTCGCGCAGCCGCCGCCGCCGCGGGACCCCAGATCTTACGCCGCCGCCGCTTCCTCCAATGGCGCCGCCAGCGCCGCCGAGCAAGCGCTGGTCGACGAGCTGCTCGGCCAGTACCGGACCGCGCTCGGGGAGCTCACCTTCAACTCCAAGCCCATCATCACCAACCTCACCATCATCGCCGGCGAGAACCTCCAGGCCGCCAAGCCCATCGCCGCCCTCATCTGCGCCAACATCCTCGAGGTGACCTTTGCCTTTGACTCCTCTTACGCTCGTCAAACTGCCGTCTCCCCCCTCTTCTTCCTCAATTCACCATGTAAAAGTAATTCTAAGGCGCCATCTAGTAGTAGCAACTAGCAAGCACCCACCCACAGGCTGTCTCTTATGCTAGATACATCACGTGTGCTCGGTGGTGTGGTAGGGTTACCAGGCCTCTGTGCATTGTACGCACTAGTTCCATGCTAGCTATTGAGATCAATCGCTGTGATGTTACGAAGCGAGTTGTTTTGTGTACAATAGATGCAAAAGGAAATGCTGATTTACGTACCTTTGCTGAGAAATCTCTCTCCCCCATCTCTTTTCCCTCCCTCTCGCTCTCTTGTGTCTGCAGAGTCGCTCTCTTGTGTCTGCGGAGCTCGCTCTCTTGTGTCTGCGGAGCTCGCTTTTGTGATGCTAATATACATGGTTTATATGGTTCCAAACGCGAAGTTCCCCGCTCAACTTCGTTTCTCAAGTGTTCATTGGTTTATAAATTTCAGACTCCTGTGACACGGCAAAACAAATATGAACATTGTGGTTTGAACTACCCTCTGCTAATTAGAGGGCTACGGCAGTTACCAATGGTACTAAAACATCATAAATTATCAAATTATGGTTGAACATCGAACCAGGCTTCAAAAGCGTTTCATTCCCACGCTCCCCACAAACTTGTGTACAGATTACATTGTCACGCTGCAGTAACTATTCTACTGTTCTCGTGCTGACCAGTGACAAAGTTATCAATTTGTGTACCCTAATCAGTTGAATCGCAAAGTTTCCAGATTTCAGAAAGTTCTACAAACTGAAGTTTATGATACATTGTCATGTACATATGAAAAATATATCGATGCACTGATAAAAAGACAGGGAATTGTGAAGTATAATATATGCCACAAGTTTGGCCTGCACTGGGCTTCTCCTTACACTCCTGGATAACCGCTGAGCATTGGCTGACTTTGTTTGTGTATTATTGTGTAACCTTGCTGCTATACACAGTTTGAGGCAGCATGTTATCTGCTCATTTTGTTTCGTTGGTTGTATTCTAAAAGGAAAAATTACTGGATTCTTCAGAAGTAAGGTCGATTTCTAGTCACCGGATAAAAGGAATGACAAATAAACACCATTGAACCTTCTCAGCTATGTAGTTGTGTGAATTGTAAGACTCGCACTGTTGTATATGTTCTGTTGTTAAATCATATCTGCCAGTGTTTTTGTCTTGAAATCCACATTGTCGAGGCATATCAGCGTTTGGTTTATCTTGCCCTGTATTACTATAATCCACTATAGTGTTATGCAATTGTTATCCACTATATGTATGGAGGGGGTGTATCTATTTTATTTGATGGTTGCTTGTCCCTGTAGGTTCCAAGTGAACAGAAACTACCATCGCTATATCTACTTGACAGTATTGTAAAAAATATTGGAAAAGATTATGTTAAACATTTCTCAGCAAGATTACCAGAGGTTAGTATTTCATCCTGTACCATCTTGATATGGGATTAGAGATGGTTCCAATCTCTGGAAACAATATTTATTTATTGAGGGTGTGACTTGGACATCACAATAACTAAGTTTCCTTTGGTTATACTTTTCATCTTTTTGCTAGGTGTTCTGCAAGGCATATAAACAAGTTGATACTTCTATACATCATAGCATGAGGCACCTTTTTGGAACATGGAAAGGAGTGTTTCCTCTTCCTCCGCTCCAAATGATTGAGAAGGAACTTGGTTTTCAGTCATCTGCCAATGGATCGAGTGCTGCACCATCAAGGACTGATTCTCAATCCCCGCGCCCATCCAATAGCATACATGTAAATCCAAAATATTTGGAAGCGAGACAGCAGCTCAATCAACCAACTAAGGCAAGATATTCTTTCTCAAGTTATACACCTGTTCACTCCTTTGACCTCTGGGACATAATCACAAAGTTTTGCTAGGCGCTAGGCGAAATCTAGGCGATGACCCTTAGCCTAGCGACTAGTCCAGCCTAGGCTAGCCTAGGCGATGCTAGGCGTTTTGCCAATTTATATTTATATATCAATATATAATATATACATTTATAGCACAAATCATGAATAATTTAGATAAAAAATAGGGAAGGACCAGTAGACATACCTTAGGTCCTTTGTCCTTAGTTGCAGTTGATACACTACTGATCACTGAATTTCCTGCAGCACTGCTGCAATAGAAGTGGACAACACTTTTAGATGCAATTGGGCATCAATACAAGTGATACAAAAAATAGGAAATAGCAAGTTAGGTACTTATCTGAGGTCTGAGCCTTCTCCCATCCATTATCAGCATTTCAGCAGCATAGGATAGCCTTTTGAAATCACAAACATGAAGGGACAGCAGGCAGCAACACAGAATATAAAATGGATAGTAGACTAGCAGTACATTACATCACATGATTGATGATTCTCAGTTCTCACAACACAAAACACAAAACACAAGCACACAGCAGGAGTTCTAAGTTCATAAGTTAAAGATACATGGATGCATAATAAAAGCTAAAACATGACATGAAGCTGTCTCACACTTCTTCAGTAGGGTTCATCCATCACATAGTCATCCTCATCTTCATCAAACTCTTCTTCTTCGGACTCAAACTCTTCTTCATAGAGCTCTCTCACCCTTGCACTTCTACGCAGCTCTAGTTGTTCTTCTGCTCCCACTGCATCTCCAAGCACAGACCAAGGTATCCCACTGCATCTCCAAGCACAGACCAAGGTCGCCCGCCTAGCTCGATTCCGCGCCACCTAGGGCTCCTGGGCGCCGCCGAGTCGCCGCCTAGCTCCGCCTAGTCGCTCCGCCCGCCTAGAGGGGCGATTACCCCCCTAGTCCAGGCGCCAGGCCATAGCCTAGCGACTAGGCGCGCCTAGGCGAGACGTAATCGTTGATTTTCAAAACTTTGCATAATCAAAATATGTACCATGTGTAGCATTGTAGTTGCCACTTTGTTCTTTTGCACCCCATGTGATTTTGTTCCTGATGCTGTTTTTCCCTTACTTCGGACAGGGGATACTTGGAAGTGGTGCTAAGACAGCTGTAATTGCTGATACAGGCGATGATATTGAGAGGGCTAACAGGCTAGGTACTGATAGAAGTGCAGGGAGACGATTAGAAGCTCCTAATGCTAGACCTGTAAGTTCGCTGCTCTCTCTTTGGCTCTTTTGACACCTCTTCATGTAAAATGGCAGAAAAGTGTCACTGCTCCTTGTGTCATTCACAATTTTTTTCTCTCTAATATACTACTTTTAACTGTAACATGCAAAACATACAGCGCACTCAGAGGGACCCTTTTAGCAATCCTGTTCATGAAAAACAAGCAGGTAGAGATGTGAGGGGCCTTGGATTCTCCAACATTTCACAGCAGGCTGTTGTGGGAACTGGTCAAGTTCGCTCAAAACCCAAAGGTCAAGATGGAATTGGGGGGCCTTATTATGCCTCTGGTGTTGGGTCTTCTGAAGAACAATTTGACAGGCGCAGTAACTTTTATGCAAGCAAGGATGTTCGGCCATCAGGATCTGTACGTTTGGATAGTGCACTTCTTCCAACTCCTTCAATTAATGCCGATAGAGTTGTTAGGCCTTCATCAAACAAAAGCTGGAAGCACTCTGAGGAAGAAGAATATGTTTGGGATGATGTACACTCTAAAGCAGCAGAATATGGTGGTAGCAATAATGTAATAAAAGGAGAATGGATGTCTGATGATGACAATGCTAAGTTTGCAAGCCTCCAAAGGGCTAAATGGGCAGAGGCAGGACCTGTGGAACGTATAGATCCCAACACACATAAACTTGATAACGTGTCAAGATTTGGACTTGCAGCAGGCCAAGAAAGAAGAATTTCAGCATACATGGTATGTGAATCAAAATTATTGAAAGAAAATTATATCAAGTATCCAGTAAATATTGATATGCTAATTATCACTACATAATAATGCCAGAGATGTTTTAAACATGCACGATACAAAATTTCTTTCTTGTTGGAAAGTATTATAATACTAGTCTTTTCAATTGTTCAGGATCAGGAAGAGTACCTTCTTGGCAAGCGTGAGGTGGAAGCAAGAATTGATAGGGAAATTAGGCCTGAAGGACAACAGTTCCCACCACCTCGAGGTTCCTCTCTCTGGGTGTCCCAGGAAAAAACACTCCCAGACATTGGGTTGGACCCTAGGATATCAAGGTTTTCAAATCAGCCAGCAGAGAGGTCCACCATTTATAGTGGCACCATGTCAGCAAGTATCACTTCATCTGTACCTGTTGGGTTATCAGGACTCTATGCTGGAAGGTCAAGCCTAGATACTGCAAATAGTGTGCCAATAAGATCAACTGAAGCTTTTGGGCAGCAGAAGCATAGATATTGGTCATCTTCCCCTCCACAAGCTCACTCACCTTCTTCTACTGCACCCTTTGCACGCCAGGGTTCTCCAAATCCTGCTGAGTCTGATTTTTATCCTTCCAGATCATTTTCTCAATTGGGCCAAAATCCTCAAGAAGAATATAGCCAAAGAGCATTGCCAGTACTTGCTAAAGATTCTCATGTTGTGGTTCACAATGATGGACTTACTCAGGGCCAACCTAGTCTACAGGCAACCCAGCAGACACAAAAGTACCCTACCTTACAGTCAAAGTCACATATTAAGCCATCTGATCCATTGCAGGCAAGCTTTTCGCGTGAAAATTCTCCATCGCTGTTCAGACCTTCCCAGCTTGGAGAAGTCTCTTTACCCAGTGATTCCACCCCTATAAGCTTAGATCTGACAAGTGCTAGTAATTTGTTGGCTGGTCTCATAAAGAGTGGGTTCAAACCAAATAACCACAGTGATGCACAACTTCTTGGTCCAAGTGGGTCACTTCCAGTGGCTTCTTTATCACTTCAAAATACTGCTGGTGAAAATACCACTTCGCATACACAGACACCAGACACTTCTCGTCCACCATTGCCACCAGGTCTGCCACCACCTCCATCAACACAGAGTGCAGAGAAAGCTGCGCCGCTCTCGAGTCTTCTCAGTTCCCTGGTTGCAAAGGGATTAATCTATTCGCCAGCTTCTGATTCATCCAATGCTGCCCTTTCACAGCCAAATAAAGCATCAAGCATGAATGCAAAAGATGTCACAGCTTCAGCTGTGCCTTTGCCGGCTCTAAAACCTTCAGTTGGTAAGGTGTCATCTAATTCTGATTCATCTGCCCCAACAAACGCTTCGTTACCCAAAGCTATCGAAATTAAGATGGGTGACCTCATTGGCCTGGAGTTCAAGCCAGAGAAACTTCGCAAGTACCATGAGCACGTGATTAGCAGCCTCTTTGATGACCAAAGCCTTCAGTGTAAAACCTGTGGTAATAGGTTCAGGGTTGAAGAACTGAGCTTGCACACATCAAGCTGTGGGCCAAGGGAGTCTGAGACAATCTATACTGGTATCGCACCTAAAAGATGGTACCCTAGCAAGAACATTTACATCGATGGATCACATGAAATTGAGGACAGCACTGAGGCTTCTGATGGAGATTTAGGTTCTACAGAAGTGTGTGAGTTTATGGTCCCTGCAGACGAGAGGCAAAGTGTCTGTGCACTATGTGGGGAACCATTTGATGATATATATTCTCTTGAGAAGGGGAACTGGATGTACAAGGATGCGGTGTTTTTGGATTACCCCAAGGGAGAAAGCAGCTGTGGAAACAATGTTGAGCCTGAAGAGCATGTGCCCATAGTCCATGTAAGATGTGTGCCAAGAGGCTCAAATGATGGCATGGAGGTTGACTAGAATGATTGTTCTTCACAGCAGCTAAGCTCTTGAGGGGCCTTGAGTTGGATGAGCCTGAAGCTGGGGTTTGCACGAGGAAATGTGCAACTGTTACAATTGGGCTGACGACATACATGTAGGATGATTGGTGGCAGGCGTTATCAAAACAAAACTTTGGCGAAGATCTGAAACTGTCCATGGATTTCACCGTGCCCCTTACAAAGTGCTTACACAAAGAATAAAGCTCCAGAGGAGCACTTTGGCCATGCGAGTCAGAATTATCAAAATCTTCATATTTTGGGTCTCCATCTGAGAAGGGTCTTTATGTTGATAGAAAGAAAGCTTTGTAGGTGCATGTCAAAAGAATGTATGATTTCTTTACGCTGTAAAAAGGGGTATGATACCCCGCATGTAAGTCGGACACTGCTTTTTTCTGACGATACATTTCTCGTCTTTTGGAGTAGGAATTTTTGTACTTAAGAAACTGATAATAGAACATTATAGAGGCAGGACTAAACAAATTAGTTGTGGTTGATTTGCTGTCGACCTGTCAACGTATATTTACCGTTGTCATCTAGTTCTGATGGTCCTTTTTGGAGTTGGATGAAATGCGACAAACTACTCAGGGATTGTTTGGCATGGCTCCTTAAGTCCTTTTAAAGAGCCGGAGCACTCCTCTCTAGTCCTTGGAAGAGCCGGAGCATCTCAAAGTCCTCCTTTGGAAGAGCATCTCAAGTCCTCCTTTGGAAGGCTTTGGAAGAGCTGGAGCACTTGAGGAGTCGCAGATTACAGTTCCTCCGGACCTAAAAACAGCTCTTGCTTCTATTGTTCACCAAAACAGCTCTTCCTCATAAACACAGTGTTATGACGGCTTCTTGGCAGAAGTTGCCGAAACCTGAATGTGCCTTTTTTTATATATATTTGTACCATGCCTTTCTATTTGTACCACCACAGGGTGTAATATTGTTCCGATTTTTAAATGTCTTGGGTTTCTAATTGGTAAGACTTTAACTTGACTCATCAATGTATATACAAGATGACATGATTGATGTTGCTATATTTTCACAGTAGAGAGAAACTATAATTGAACATTCTTCAAACTTGTTTAAGGTCTAAACCATTAATTTGCATATATTAGTCTTCAGACTTGCTAAGTCGTTTGATCGAGGTCCAAAGCTCTCTAATTAGTGCACTTAGCATCTACACGGTGTCCACGTGAAAATATTCTTCGTTTGTTTTCTCATATCGATCGGAAAAAATTGCAACATGCAGCCTGTTCGCTTGGTCGTAAACGATCGTAAATTTTCAGCTAGAACAGTATTTTTCTCTCATATCAAACCAGCCAGCAGTAAATAATCCACGATCGTTTACGGCCTACCGAACAGGCTGATGTTACTCCTATCGATACGAAAATTTGCAACGTGTTAGTAGGAAGGTCTTTCCTTAGCCTCTGTCCGCTTCAACTTATCAGCCTGTCTTATCAGCCATGGTACATTGTTTTTCTCTTACAATAAAACAGTATCAACTGGCTTATCATCCGCAAAAACCATTAGCCGAGCACCTGGTTTATGATAAAAAAAAAAAAAATTCTATCAGGGCACATTTGTCATCCCTTAACGCCCTCCTCCCCTTGCCTCGATTTAGATGGCCGTACCGGCTTCACCGGTACTCATATGCTAATTAACCGTGTTTAGTTTTGGAGTTATACAGTTAAGAATTTAGAGACTCGTACACAAATAAAACCCTAATGCTTCTTTACGGTCGCGCAGGATCTGGCGACTTTGCGTGCACAGCCAATCCACCGTTGATGGGATTACGCATCGACCTCCCATGGGATTACGCTGCCATTCGGTTCGGGCGTTTGACTTCCATAGTTCCATCCACGAAGTGGGCCACTTATTAACGCAGATTCGTTATCCACCGATGTTCCAAAAGGCGCGAGCTTTCTCACTTCTACGGTGTTATAAAACGTCTCCATCTCTCGTGATCAATAGATAAAAGTAGAATATACAGACATAAGGGATAAAAATATTATTCTTTATTTCTCAACATAAAACTCCCACATATATATAGTTTTGTAAAGGCATAAGAGTTTGATAAGAGCCCACGTACAAACGGATTAGGATTAGAATTCTTCATTCTCTTTTCCTTCTAGGATAGAGTCCGTATGTTTTACAACACTCCCCCTTGGACGATTACCACGATATGCACATGTCTCATTAAAAACTCCGTCTAAAACCCAGTTGAAAAAACGGTTCTTGGAGAAAATGTACATTGCATTCGTTAATTGCATTGCACATGTTGTCTCATTAAAAATCTTGTGTGAGAAACCTTCAAGTAAAAGCTCACATAGAAAAAAAGAGTACAACATTTAACCTTCATGGTCATGTATTCTTCAAGATATTCTATTCTTCATGAATAGATATTGATCTTCTTGATCTATGCATAAACTTCAATATTTTATCAAATATGATCTACTTGATCTTTATAATTCTAGTGATTTTAATTACCTTCAAGTAAATTCAATCAAATTGCTCCCCCTCATAAAGCCATTCTTTGAACATCATTGTTCAAACCACACTTTTCATAAGTGTGTGCTTAATAATGGTATGCAATACCACAATGCTATATCTTTCAAAATGTTGGCTCGCAATTCTTCTATGAATTATAATATGAGTAAACAAGAGCAATATGCTTCATGCATAAATGACCACTTATTAGTTGTGCAAAACAAATAAAATTTATCCTTCAGGATAATAAATCCTTTCAGAGGATTATGGGGGTAAATAATTTATAATATTCAATATCTTCTAGATAGTGCATCAAACTTATACTAGAGTTTGAATACTTATATTCTCCCTCTGTGGTTTTTCAAATTATATGTTCTATAAATCTTTAGAATTTTGATTGTACTACTAAATAATAAATTCAGTCTTGCATTTGGCATTTAGGGGATAATTCAATTGCCAAAATCACCATTTTTCTTATACCTTCTATGGTATTTAGAGGATATCATCACTTCATTGCTAGCTTTCAATATGCACTTTCTAAGTGTTCTTATAACACCTTCATGGTGTTTAGGATTCCTCATTTTTTTTCTCTCGGGTCTATATTTACTTCAGGGATTAAGTGTGTTCTTCATGGATTAATTCCTTCAAAGATGTTGTCATTTTGGGTGAATTATATATCTCTTCTACGAGATATATTCTCTGCTGCATGAGAGATTATTATGAGATATACACAATGAGATAGTGGTATTCACTACAAAGTCATTCAATAACTCTTCCTTCTAGGGCATGCTCTTCTTGAGACTTCGATATTCATTCAGGAATGTATTCTACCTTAGACTTCTTAATACTTAGTATGAGATTTAATTTTCATATGTTGCGATTTATATTCTTCAGGAACTACATGGATCTTCGTAATCCACTTATTAACTGCATATTTCATATTCATTCATTTTATTTGCCAGAGATATAGCAGAACATTTATTTCTTCATAGTAGGAGATTTAACCTCAATTGCTTTCTTCATTGACCCGATATAACCTCTATAAGCGACTTTGCCATAGACTCTGTTTTCTGGATCCAGGTTCTCATAAGAGAAACATTTGCAATTATAGAGGTAGCGTTGTCGACAACTATTATTTTCTCTCAATATTCTCACAATGTGAGATTATTCTATCTCTTTGTCATTTTGAAAGTGCAATCAAGCCCTAATTATGGGTTTTGGTGATAATGACCACGCAATTAGAGAACTAATGAGATTTATCGAGATAACAAGTAGGGAATTTATATTCGAGGATGTTACACGAAACGGAGAAGCCCCCAATTACAAATGTTGATGGCTTAAAACTCAAAGAAAGTTTAAATTCTTTTATATTTTAAATTTGAGTATAGAAAAGGCCGTACTATAAAGGGGGCACAATGCTTAAGCTAACATGTGCTACCAAGTGCTCAAACCTATACATGCATCCTTAGATTCACAGCCAAGACAGCCAGCACTTCACTCTTACCCTTGCTGTCTTGCCTACTGCGGCAGTGCCGCACATAGAGAGAGGCACTGCCGCACTTAAGAGCCGCGACACTACCACGACTTAAGTGACTGTTGGGGCTAGGGGGTACTTATACCTTTCCCCTTCCTCCCCAATGTCTCTCTTCGGTCTCCCACTCATTCAGCTCATCCAAGAACAGAAGAGTGCCCTTCTCTCTCTCCTCCATTAGTGACCTTGAGCTCCCAAGCATTCTTCCTTGATTTCTCCATCAATCCTTGAGAGAAAAAGATCCTAAACTCAATTAGAGAGCAGATCCTTTGATTCCCTAACTCAAAACAGCACTTGGTTCACGTTTTGGCCGATGGTTGTGTTTATTACTCTTGGAGTTTTGCTCCTAGCTGGCTAGAGCATCGTCCGTGGAGCTTGCCAACTTGTGTGGCAGCCCCGGGAGGCTTGTAACCCCCTCTTGAAGCTAGTAAACTCACCTCTCATCTCAACAGTTAAGTCTCTTGACTTGAGAACGAGGAAGGGTTGTAAAGCCCTAAGCCTTAGTGGCTAACCTCAACAACGTAGACGTAGGCAAGCCTTGGTAGCGAGCTGAACCACGGGTTAAATCATCGTGTCATATTGTGCTTGATTTACATCATTTGCATTTCATATTATTGTTGAGGTGATTTCTAGGGTCTGTGGTCGATCTACTTGTGTGTTGTGTTTCTATCACTTCTAGCTCTCGATATGTGAATCTCATACCTGCAGGAAGCTAAGAAATTTCTCCGATTCAAGTTTACATTCACTGATTTTGAACTATCACTCGAAGTTGTCTACAGGTGTGGCAGTGCTGCTGTTCTGGCCTGGCAGTGCCACTATCCGGCAGTGCTATGAGGTCAGATCGGCAGTGCCGTAGATTGAATTTGATGAAAGTTTGAGTGTTTGTTTTGACAGGCCTATTCACCCCCCTTCTAGGCTAACCAGAGATCCTACAAGTGGTATCAGAGAAGGTTACCTCGTGAGCGCTTCACCGCGTGAGG